CTGAAAGGGCAGGTGCTCTATTACTTTGTAGATTCTTAAATCATCCAAATACAGATCAGTGCCAAATGATGAATCTCTCTATGAATCAGGCCAGCTGAATTATGTTATTTGAGTAGTTCCCAATTAAAAGAACTGAAGATCTCCTATCAGTGACCCAGTATTCACTGAAGACAAAATGTTTTTATGAGAAAATATTGTTAACTGAGATGTATGGATTTTCAGAAGGATGGCTTTGCTATTTCAAGATGAGAGACAGTATTAAATGGCTGAACAAAGTGAAAAAAAGATAAAAAAAATTATGAAGAGAATTTTATGGAATATTCAGAGAACTAATTTCTGAGCACATTCTATCCTCTGAACAATTTTATGATGGTGAAGAAATCACTTGGTATTGACAATTTCTCTTCTGGCAGGGGCCAGCGAATTGTTTCCCCTAGGATTTAAGCAGAAGAAGGAAGCAGTTGACTTTCTTCATGTTTTTGCATTGCAGGCACTTTCAGTGATTAGAAATTTTGATCATCCTAGAATTTTGAAAGATATTACTCATGTATATGTTGTTTACAAAGTGCAAGTTTATACACACACACACACATAAGAAATGTGAATGTTTGTTGGACAAGTAAACACAATGACTACACTATTTCTTAGGAAAGAGACACAGGAGGGCTTCCAGCACCTCTCTCACTAGCAGGTTCACTTTTGATCTGGTCAGACAGGAAGACAGGAAAGGAGTCATAATAAGGGGTTAAATAACATTCCTTTATTCTAGTGTAGTCTTCTTAAAGAGAGTTTGCTACAGAATTCCCTAACAACCCTCCTCGCAGGGGCCATACAGGGGAGGCAGCTACCCCTCCTCTCAGTGGGGTAAATCGAGACCAGCACAACTTATGCACTGCCCTAAATCCCCTCAAGCCTCAATGGGGCCTGGTTGAGGCAAATACGCAGATTCCCTTTCCCAAGCCTTGATGGGAGCTGATCAAGGTACGCACAGCATTCCAGCCTGCACATTCACCCCTAAGGAGGTCCCCAGTCACTGACCAGTGCCCACTTGCTTTATAGGGCAACAGACAAAGAAGGCATGTTGCCAGAAATAGCCTCACAATTTCACATCACTTCCCCCTATATCTAGTGACTGTACAGTAGAAACTTTTCTGAACCGTCATCATAAGAACTCAAATCTAACACCTGGGAAGTAGAGATTGTTATGGCTATGGATCCTGGGAAGAAAACTCTAAGAAAGAATAACAAAAAATCCATTTTGCATGCACTAAAATTCACCTTACTTACAATGTTCTATCCCCTTTTCTGTTACATTAAATGGAAAATAATTTTCAAAGTAATAGGTTTAATTGAGGAGAGTTCAGTTTTACTGAGCAAAGAGGACTACTAAGCTAGTTCTATATGTTTTTTTAAACCATTTTCTCAACCCCCGATTTTACTTTGCTGTGGTATTATGCATAATAAGAAATATTGTCACAGAGGAGGTTCCATGAAAAAGTTGATCTATCATTCAGAGACTATATGGGACTTTCAATGTTAAAATATTAAAGACACATTTTTTAAACCATTGCTTGATAAATGAATTCTCTTCAAAGTCAAACATTAAGGAGTAGTTGATCATGGGGGAAGGGAACAAGCATTTATTAAGCACTACTATGTTTCAAGCACTGTGCTAAGCACTTTACAAATATTATCTCCTTGGATCCTCACCACAACTCCAGGAAGTAAGTACTATTATTATACCCAGTTTTCAGTTGGGAAAACAGATAAACAGAGGTTAAGTGACTTTCAGCCCAGGATCCTACAGCTAGTAGCCAGTAAATGTCTGAGAATGGATTTGAACTCAGGTCTTTCTGACTTCAGGTCCAGCACTCTGGCCATTGTCCCACTTTGCTGCCTCAATCATATCAGTAAAATGTTATCTTCTAATGATTTGTGGTTTTTGGAGTAAGCCCTTTCCCAAATAGCCTAGCAAAAAATCTTAAAATGCTAAAGGACACTTCTTCATACACCATGAAAAAAATGAAAATAGAAGTATGGTTACAAGCTGATAAACACCGTGATTGTAGGCCCATGTGTTAGTGATGGAGATATCATGACATGTTTTTAATAGTACCGATAAGATAGATTCCTCAGACAAAAGCAAAGATGATTTTACAAGAAGTAAGAGATCCAGGGGGAGAAAGCTATAGGTATAGATAACAAAACTCTGGACTGAACAATAACGATAAGGAAAATAATGAAAGGCAATATGGCAGGGATGATATAGGACTGACCTTAAAGTCAGGAAGGTTCAAGACTTGCCTCTCATCCGTGGTGATTGTGTGATCCTGGGCAAGTCACTTAATCTCTTAGTGTCTTGGACAATCATCTGAGACTACAAATTATAGTCAAACTGCCATTCTGTATTGGGGTGGGAGGAGTTTCAGGAATGGAATTCCACATGCCAGTGAAATTTCAGGTCAGAAGAAGAGAAGGAAATAATAATAATAACAATGATGATGATGAATCCAACTACAATGTCTTATTAAGCATTTGATTTTCAAGGGTTACATCAAGCTATATGGCTCCACTGAAAAACACCTCATGGAATCTATCTCCAATGGTATATAAACGATATATAAATGATATTTAAAAGATTCCAAAAATACAAAATTCTTAATGTATGCAAAAGAAATATAGAGATCGAAGGCTGCAAACTTGAATCTCGAAGGCACATTAAATCATCGAATGAAATTGATCACCTCCAAGCCTAAGACGTTGATCAAAAAGATATCAAGGAAAGATTGTGACTGAATACATAAAAAGACAAACTGGCATCCTCAAGTCAAATATGAATGGGAAGAACATATTTAAAGCAAATAAAACTTATACAATACAAGTCTTAATTTATACTTTAGGAACTATATTGAGTACTGCAGCAGATTTGGAAAGTATCCTAATAAAAATTCATACAATATTAATAAAGAGAAGGAGAAGGGTATGTTACCCTAAGGTAGCTATGGAAAAATTAATAACACTTCCTTGACAAAAAGGAGGGGGAGAGGTAAGAGACATTCTTAAAGAATATGATAAATAAAACTTGTAATACTTTTAGATCAAGCATATAGCATTTCATGAAGCAGTCTTCATAAAGATTGGTAATAGATATGTGGTATTGGATTTGTCAAATATAACTGGATGGAGCCTATGAAATGGAAAAGGTCTAAGAGTAGAATTCAAAGGTTCCCCTCCACAGGTGACATTCTCATGAACTCAGGCAACAATGTGTTGAACAAATAACTGAGTCATTGGATTTCTTTGTTGAAATGGAAAATTTTATGATGATGATGCAGGACCAAGTTATTTCCAATAGATATTACAGAACAGTTTTCCTTAACGGGAAGGTTTCACCTCACACCTAGAAAATTGGCCACGGCAACAAAATATGGGAATTATCAATATCAAAAGTGTGTGGAAAGACAGGTATTCTAAAAGCATTGTTGGTGGAGCTGTGAATTAATACAACAATTTTGGGAAGGGATTTGAAATCATTCAAATAAAGTGACTGAAGTACTCCTATCACTTGACCCAAAGATTCTCCCTTTTCATTTTTGATAAAATTTGTTTTCCCTCTATCAAAGGCATAACCATTCTCTCAGTCATCCAGGCTCACAACATATAGGTAATCCTTAACTCTTTACTCTCTCTCATGTCCCCCATACCCAATCAGTGCTCAAACCTTGTCATTTGTACCTTCTTAATATCTCTGATACATATGCCTTTCTCTCCTCTGACAATGCAAACACCCTATTGCAGGCCCTCAACACCTTACATCAGGATTATTGTAATGAACTGCTGGTTCGTCTCCCTGCCTTAAGTATCTCCCCACTTTAGTTCATCCTCAACTTGCCTGTCAGATTGATCTACCTAAAGCACATGTCTGATCATGTCACCTCCTAGGCAATAAACAAACTTCAGTAGCTTCCTATAACCTCCAGGATCAATCCTCTGATATTCGATGCCCTTCATAACCTGGCCCTGTCCTACCTTTCCAAACTTCCTACATGTTACTCCTCTCTACCTACACCCCTGCCCTGTGTACTTTCTGACCTAGTCACATAAACATCCTTGCTATTCTTCCGACAATATACTTCATCTCTTAACTCTAAGCATTTTCACTATTTGTCGTCCACGCCTGGAATTCTCTCCCTCCTCATCTCAATCTTTTGGCTTCCCTCAAGTCCCAGCTCAAATCCCACCTTTCATAAGAAATCTTTCTCATTCCCTTTTAATGTTAGTTCCTTCCCTCTAAGATGATCTCCAACATATCCTGTCTGTATCTGGGAGGAAAAAAAAAAGAAAGAATAGAAAGAAAAAAAATCACCGTAGAGGAGAAAGGCAGGGTTGACACTGGTTGATCTAGGTTAAATGAGTTGCTGCAAAGTGATTACATTTAAGGAACTAGTAACAAATATGAGTATATTTTATGCTAATGGATACAGAATGAGGTTACTGGAAATAGTAATCACAGCAACAACCAAAGCACATATAAAAAATCTAAACCCATATTTCTCAAATTGTGTTCCATAGAGCCCTGTTGTATTAGATAATGTGAAGAGGAGGTAAATGAAAAATTTTCAACATTTCCATTTCCCCTCTATTAAATATAGAATTACATCTAAAGTGTTTATGATATGCAACAACTTTTTAGTATAAAAATAACTGGTATTTTCTGCCCTAAGGATATTCCATGTCTTATGACCCCAGATCAACTTTATGGGTTCCATCAATCTATTTCAAATCTGAAAGTTTTCCACAGGCAAATTAATTTGGGAAGCTCTGGTCTAAACATAGTTCTTTCTTCTCACCATACATAAGTGGAGTGCCCTCTACTGAACTAGAGTGGGAAAACATCACAGAAATGCAATGTAGCTACTACCATTAGAGGGATAGGATCCACTTTGGCTAGCTTTTCAAGAAACACCACCATAATCCCATAGTTAAAGAATATGACCTACTGGAATATTAGGAGCAGTGATATTACAGTGTACCCGTGGGGTTTCCGACTGGGTCCTCCGAGCCACCATGAGTAAAAGCTGCTGTTGGAGGGCACTCAATGCTGGCTCCCCAGAAGATGGTTCTTGACTGGCAGAAGTTGTGGTGCTGGAGGAGCTGAAGTGTCTTTCACTACAAATGGGTAAAACAGGAAAAAAATAATAATGTTTTGTAAATGTTGGAAGTTATTTTAGTTCACGTACACATGTGTAACACACACATACAGGGGAAAGTAAGCTGAATGAAATCTCCCCCTTGGTGAATATGAGCTCCCTGAGGGCATAGATTATTGTGGGGTTTTTTATTATTATTATCTTTGCTTTGTAACCCTAGCACTTAGAAATAGATTCTTTCACATAGTAGGCAATTTAATAAATGCTTGTTTAATTGAATTAAAGATTGGCAGTGGGCAGACCATAATGCATATAGAAAAGACATTCCACAGCAAAAGATAATAGTCAGTTTCAGCCAGCAAAGGAATAGTCTTGCTTATAAACAGGATTATTACATGACATACAGGTTGCACTGACTCTTAGGGCCACTGAATATCTGGTAGCCTAGGAGATAAACTCAACTTTTTATACCTAAATGGGCAGGGAGTTATCAACAGTCATAAGTTATCTCCTTGTAACTGTGAATAGTGGCCTGGAATCTTGGGAATGTACTTGCTTTGTGGAAGCTGTTTAATCCTTGTGATACTCTGTTTTAAACACTGCCATTTTCCTTCACAGCAACTGAGATAATATCTTTCCATCCAACCTCTCCTCTTGAAACCAAATTTTCCCAAATCAGACAGTTAAGTTACTGTAGATTGAATTCTATATCCCTTCAAACAACCAATCATAAACACATATTTATTAAGCATCTATTATGTGTCAGGCACTTTAATAAGCAGGGGGGTTACAAGTATAAAGAAAGAAGTCATCCATACTGGGAATGGTGCTGGAGAGTGGCTGCTTTCTTTAATTACTTTTCCACTGTTCTCAGTTCTCCCCTAAGTGGCATGGACCTTCTCATATATTGACTTATGCTGTTCTGGGCACTTTCTCTCCCAGGTGGAAGCTACTAGCGTGGTAGAAAGAATCTTTGTTCTATATAGACTGAGATGTTTCCTGCAACGGGAACACAAATATTGTCCTTAGGATTTAGTTGGTCCAGAGGCCTAGAGTTTGAACCATTAGCATGGATTCCTTGTCATCTGAGCATAAAAACCTACCCTATGGGGATCTAGGATGCTGGAAGTTTAGCAGAATTCTCACTGCCATGCAAAATGCCTTTCTGATCCAGTATTGCTGCCATGGTAAATATGGAGGCAGAGGTGGCTAGCATGGTTTGTTTGTTTTTTTTTTTTTTCAGTAATAAAACAATTATTTTAATATTTTATTACAAATAAAGTAATTTTGTTGCACTTTATAAGCTACAAGTACTTCATTATATTCCAAAAATAGACTTGAATCACTGGTATGAGATAACGCTGGCCTAGAATATTTGAGATTAATTTGTAGGTTTCAGCCCCAATGATATGGTTCTCAAAGTTGAAGTAGGGGAAGGGAAATGTGGATAAAAGAGAAAGCATCTATCTCAGCCTATGTAAAACAAATGGTATTCCTACCAAGTGGAGTCACAAAACTGGGCCATTCAGATACCCAACATCTGTAGGGTTCCAACATCACTGCCCTCAGAATTGGAATCTCACCCCAGGGAGTAATAGGTACCAACACATACTCAAGCTCACTGGGCATACCTGGCTATAGCTGCCAGCTTCTATATGTCACCATAATCCTCACTCTCCCCTCACTCCCTAAGAGTGAATGAATACAAATGAATAAGTATGTTAAATGTGGTCCATAACAGAATATTTTCCCTTAACAAGATGTTGATATCTAATAAGTTTTCTTTTCATTTGTATATGAAGTGTCCCAAAAGTCTTACTGTAATTCAAGCTTTAATAACCTGAAATATTAATAATCATTAGATAATAATTCTATGTAAATAATCAAATAATATAATTAAATGATGTTATTTTATAATAATAATTTAATAATTAAGCTTTACTAAACTTAAACTACACTAGGACTTTTGGAATACCCTGTAGATGTGTATCTGTGTATGTATGTATGCACTGGATTTGGAAGTTAGAATGAAAGCATATCTCATAGGATTATGGTCGAAATAGAGACATGGAAAGAATAGAAATGAGGAGGTTTGCTTATATGACATTCATAATGATGACATTCATTCAGGGGTAAAAAGAAATGTGCAGGTTCTCTCTCCTCCAATTTATTTGGGGCTTTACCTGTTTTATAGATTCTCCCTCCTCATTCTTGGTTCCACCAACAAGCACCATATCTGAGATGTATCAAATTTCTATTGATTTTGTACTGATAATATGTAAACAAGGCAACTGATCACGTACAGAGCTTGACTTACTTGACTTACAAAGCTCTCCGTTACTAAATATCTGTGACTTTTTTTTTTGCCTTTCTGCCTAGGAGTGAGAAGAGACTGAGGATTAAGGCTTATCTTCAAAAGCAATTAAAATCTTCTGGGATCCACATCTAAAAATGACCCCAGGTTTTAGAAGATCTGCACCTAAAACATGTCCTCAAATTGCTCAGTGTTCTGAACCCAAGTAACTCCAATTAACAAAATCCTTGATTCATATTCTTTCAGCTACCATACTACATCACTCTAATCAGTTTCTCTCCTTCCAGTATCCACACAAATATTCTACTTCCTTTCTCCACACACACAAACTCATTATCTGTCCAAATGGTATCACAAAGTTAATGCCAGGGGCCAGCCTCTTAACATGCCTACTCCACTGATTACCCACAACAGGAGAACGTCCTGAGCATTCCTTTATAGCTCAGTGGGCAATTCATAATAACAGGCAGCTGGGAGGCCTCTTTGACTTGGATATACAACTGTTTTCCCTATTAGCTCTAGCAGCATTCAGGAACAAAGAGTATAAAAAAACCACAAAACAGTGAAAGTGAAGAAGGTAGGAAAAAAAGGGCACAGGTAATACTAACAGAGGACATACAAAGGAGTCAAGCTCTGTACCTGGGCAGTTGCTAAATTCCCTCGAGTCATTTATATATTGGCAGAACAAAATCAATGGGAATTTGACACACCTTAGATTTGGTGCTATATTGGTGGAACTGAGAATGAGAAGGGAGAGTCTAAGAAATAAATAAATCCTCAACTGATCTGGGGAAGAGAAAATCAGTACCTTTCTTTTTACCTTCAAATGCATGCTGTTGGTCCTGTGATATAAACAAATCTCCATCTCTTTCTGTTTTCAACCATCATTCTTTCAGATGTGCTAGGCTAGAACCAGAACCTACTGCATACATGCATATACAGATGGACCAGATTTAAGATGCACATTCATTTTATACATGTTCCACATAGAATATATACATATAATGACCTGTAGTAAATAGTATATGCACTGTATACCTGCATTATGTACAGAAGTACATCTGAATATATTCTTTATGCATATGCAAGCGCCATCCATTTCAAGGAGATGCCTATATACACACACACACATACTGTATATATGGACACACATGTGTATCACATTTATACCATGTTATATTTTGAAGGTTTCCTAATGAGAATTTCCTATTTTTGAAGTGGTAGCCAACAAGCTTTGTTTTTTTAAAGAACGGATAAGCGATGGTCACATAGTAAGATAAGATCCCACCAACTGATTTGAGAGAGGCAGTGTGGCATAGTATATAGAAAGCCAGCCTTAAATCAAAGAATACTTGGATTCACAGCCTGATACTGAAACATACTGGCTGTGTGACCCTGGATAAGTCATTAGACATCTCATTGCTACAGGCAATTTTTTAAGACTATAAATTGCAGAGGAAGTGATGACTGGCCCTTCCAGAGAAAGCTTCTCTACCTAGGGATTCCCTATACCAGTGAAATCACAGATCTAGTCCCCTTCCCAAAGACATGATCATGAACTAACTGCAAGTGCTCTACGGTAGACTCTGGGTGTTTAAAGTGTTGGACTCTTATCTTGCCATTGTTTTAGATAAGTGACTGTTGTCAAAACAACCAGGGCTTCCTATTACCCAGCCTATCACATCCAAACCTGTTGAGGGCTGTCACTCTTCTCTATTGGCAACTAGATGGCCCAGTGGATAGACTGCTGGGCCTGGAGTCAGGAAGACTCATCTTCCTGAGGTGAAACCTAGCCTCAGACACTTACTAGCTGTGTGACCATGGGCAAGTCACTTAGCCTTGTTTGCCACAGTTTCCTCATCTATAAAGTGATCTGGAGAAGGAAATAGACAACCACCCCCACAACCTTGCTAAGAAAACCCCAGATGGGGTCATGGAGAGTTGGATATGAACAACAACAACAACAACAAAACTCTTCTCTATATCTTCTGGGCTCAAATTTGGTAGAGGATTTGGAGGAACTGAACCACATTAAATGGAGGCATAGCATTACTTGAAGGAGGAATGTTTAATGGTTCAAAAAACATGGACTTTGGAGCAACATTTCTAGCTCATTACCAAGATAAAAATGCAAATGATTGCCAGATAATGAAAATAAGAACTTTAACAACAAGTCTTAAAAAAGGCCCTCTTCTTTTCTTAAAAGATTACCACTTGACACTTGACCTAGGCACAAAAGGATGGAAGAATGGAAAAGCAAAATATGAGAGAGAGAGAAACAGAGACAGAGACAGAGACAGAGAGACAGAGAGAGACAGACAGACAGACAGACAGAGAGACAGAGAGAGAACTCAAGAGAACTCCACTTTCTTGATTGGCCAGAAAGGAGGAGACCCTCCTGGAGACCAGGTAGAGAAGAGAATCAGTTGAAGCTGAAGTAAACCTCAATACAAATACAAATCCTGAAAAATCTAAAGTAATTACTGCCAGGAGCTTAGGATGCTATGGGCTGAGAGGGAAAGAGAATGAAAGTTTGACCCTTCATGGAAGATTTTCTTCCATCTCCTGTCATAGGGATTACTGGATTGGTGGGTAGGAGAGTGTTTGAAGTTTAGGGATGGGAGTCATTGAGAAGCTTCAGGAAGTAGTCTCAGGACTACTGCTTGGTGGTTTCAGAGGCTATGCTGAAAGCTGGGAGCATGGTA